AGTAACATTCACTTGGAGGGGAGAGGGGAGCGGTGAAGAACGGAAAGGATGAGAAAGTGTGCTCCTGGTTTTTACCGCAGATACCTGGGGTAGGGAAAGGCGAAATACTGTTTGCTTGAACAGTGATGTTGTAGTGGGGATGGAGAGGGGTCTATATCTTGTTTGCTAGCAGAATTTGGGACAGGGTAGAGAGGGAGAACGAGGACGCAAGTCAGAAACTCAATAACTAGCAGAAAAGAGAAAAAGACATTACTGCGCACACAAATAAAGTTAAAGCAAATTTGACTTTATGAATAAAAGCAAAAGAAACTGAGTTTTTGTTGGTGGAAACTAATCCGTAAAAACCCGTCACCAGTAGGGGACTTCCCTATTTATGTAACTGGTGCTTAGGTAGAGCTGTCCCACAAAAACCCGTCATCACTAGGGAACTTTCCTATTTGTGAAACTGATACTTAAGTAAAACTGTCCCACAAAGGCCCGTCATTAGGCCTTGCTATTTATTAAACTGATGCCTAGCTAAAACTAAGTCCCATGAAGTGAGCACGAGCAGAGTAGACTGGAAGCACGGGGATGAAGTCAGCCTTCACTTTTGTAATATTTTGAAGGCAAAAAAAATAGAGTTATAACTGTTGTATATGGTTGCAGGCTGCGGGAAGCAACACTGTGGAATTGCCTGCAATTCTTGTGTAAATCCAATCAAACTTATTTGACCTTAGCTTCACCCAAGCATAAGTTTCAGTAAATCCAATCGAACTTATTTGCCTTCAGCTCACCTGAGCATAAGCTTAAGTAAATCCTGTCGAATTTATTTGCCCTAGCTCCACCTAAGCATAAAACTCATAAATGCGGGAGCCGCTTATCTACTCGCATAAACTCAGTTTTTGTTTGTTTTTGGCCAAAGGCTCCATTTCTTTGATTTTGTTTTTTATGCGTTTTGTGCTGTGTAACAGCAGTACAAAACGCGTATTGTCACGAGGTTGTCCGTGTATGTTTGTGTGTCCCACATTTTGTCCCGCACTTTCAACTCGG